TTGTACTATAACAAAAATGTGTATACTGGGTGATACTTCAACAGTATCCGTACCTGTACTATAACAGAAATGTATATACTGAGTGATACTTTAACAGTACCTGTACTATAACAGAAATGTATGTACTGGGTGATACTTCAACAGTATCCATACCTGTATTATAACAGAAATGTATATACTGGGTGATACTACAACAGTATCCGTACCTGTATTATAACAGAAATGTATATACAGAAATGTATATACTGGGTGATACTTCAACAGTATCCGTACCTGTACTATAACAGAAATGTATATACTGGGTGATACTACAACAGTATCCGTACCTGTACTATAACAGAAATGTATATACTGGGTGATACTACAACAGTATCCGTACCTGTACTATAACAGAAATGTATATACTGGGTGTACCTGTACTATAACAGAAATGTATATACTGGGTGATACTACAACAGTATCCGTACCTGTACTATAACAGAAATGTATATACTGGGTGATACTACAACAGGATCCGTACCTGTACTATAACAGAAATGTATATACTGGGTGATACTACAACAGTACCTGTACTATAACAGAAATGTATATACTGGGTGATACTTCAACAGTACCTGTACTATAACAGAAATGTATATACTGGGTGATACTTCAAAGTACCTGTATTATAACAGAAATGTATATACTGGGTGATACTTCAACAGTACCTGTACTATAACAGAAATGTATATACTGGGTGATACTACAACAGAAATGTATATAAGTACCTGTACTATAACAGAAATGTATATACTGGGTGATACTACAACAGTATGTACTATAACAGAAATGTACCTGTACTATAACAGAAATGTATATACTGGGTGATACTTCAACAGTACCTGTACTATAACAGAAATGTATATACTGGGTGATACTTCAACAGTACCTGTACTATAACAGAAATGTATATACTGGGTGATACTTCAACAGTACTTGTACTATAACAGAAATGTATATACTGGGTGATACTTCAACAGTACCTGTACTATAACAGAAATGTATATACTGGGTGATACTACAACAGTACCTGTACTATAACAGAAATGTATATACTGGGTGATACTTCAACAGTAGTACCTGTATTATAACAGAAATGTATATACTGGGTGATACTTCAACAGTACCTGTATTATAACAGAAATGTATATACTGGGTGATACTTCAACAGTACTTGTACTATAACAGAAATGTATATACTGGGTGATACTTCAACAGTACCTGTACTATAACAGAAATGTATATACTGGGTGATACTTCAACAGTACCTGTACTATAACAGAAATGTATATACTGGGTGATACTTCAACAGTACTTGTACTATAACAGAAATGTATATACTGGGTGATACTTCAACAGTACTTGTACTATAACAGAAATGTATATACTGGGTGATACTACAACAGTACCTGTACTATAACAGAAATGTATATACTGGGTGATACTACAACAGTATCCGTACCTGTATTATAACAGAAATGTATATACTGGGTGATACTTCAACAGTATCCGTACCTGTACTATAACAGAAATGTATATACTGGGTGATACTACAACAGTACCTGTACTATAACAGAAATGTATATACTGGGTGATACTTCAACAGTACCTGTACTATAACAGAAATGTATATACTGGGTGATACTTCAACAGTACCTGTACTATAACAGAAATGTATATACTGGGTGATACTTCAACAGTACCTGTACTATAACAGAAATGTATATACTGGGTGATACTTCAACAGTACCTGTACTATAACAGAAATGTATATACTGGGTGATACTTCAACAGTACCTGTACTATAACAGAAATGTATATACTGGGTGATACTTCAACAGTACTTGTACTATAACAGAAATGTATATACTGGGTGATACTTCAACAGTACCTGTACTATAACAGAAATGTATATACTGGGTGATACTTCAACAGTACCTGTACTATAACAGAAATGTATATACTGGGTGATACTTCAACAGTACTTGTACTATAACAGAAATGTATATACTGGGTGATACTTCAACAGTACTTGTACTATAACAGAAATGTATATACTGGGTGATACTTCAACAGTACTTGTACTATAACAGAAATGTATATACTGGGTGATACTTCAACAGTACCTGTACTATAACAGAAATGTATATACTGGGTGATACTACAACAGTACTTGTACTATAACAAAATGTATATACTGGGTGATACTACAACAGTATCCGTACCTGTACTATAACAAAATGTATATACTGGGTGATACTTCAACAGTACTTGTACTATAACAAAATGTATATACTAGGTGATACTACAACAGTATCCGTACCTGTACTATAACAAAATGTATATACTGGGTGATACTTCAACAGTACTTGTACTATAACAAAATGTATATACTGGGTGATGCTACAACAGTATCCGTACCTGTACTATAACAGAAATAACATTATTGACTATTAATTCTTTTATTATAAAAGATGTATAATGATATAAGGAACAACACTGGTAATGATATTATGCTAGTTTACATCTCATCCCTCACTCTCATCTATTGTACAACCAAATTATAAACATCCAGTGTAAAACATCCAATCCAATTTGTCAAAAGCTTATTCAGCTATAGAAAAAGAAGCTGATTAACTAAAACTATTGGGATTAAAAACAATGGTTGATGGTTGAAAGACACTTGAACTTCATTCCCAATGGAATCTTTTTGATAAGGTAATTTCATACATGTAGAGTTAAAAAAAAAATGGACAATGTTTTTTAACAAATATTTCAAATAATTGAGAAAAAAAGTAGTTTTGGAACTTATATAACCATAGTTTCATCTTGATTGTATCTTACATACAGCGGTGAACAAGCTGAACTCTAATGCCTATGTGACAAGGAACTTATAGTACCATTCTGAAAAACAGTATTCCATACAAATATCTTACATCTCATTTAACCAAACCCTACATTTTCACATTGTAAAAGATGCTTTGAAATCTATGACACTGAGTTTGTATGGCGGGTGATTGAGTGGCGAAGTGGTAACACACTCGCCCTTCACCTAGCCATCCAGGGTTTCGATTCTTTGAATGGATGTGAAATGGTGGATTTTCCCCCAGGTACTCTGAGGTGGGATCTCCATTTATTAGCTGGTCGCTAAGTCAATGAATATCATAGTAGAGGTCCATTGTATGCCATCCAGGACAATTATGATAAACTCATTTACTGGCCCAAGGACACAACCATCTAAACATAGAACACACTGTTTCTCAGCTTCCTTGGACCACAATTAGGTGTAAACAGTGTGAAAAATGCTCCTCAGATCACATTGGCACAACTCTCTACTGAATTCAACTATCACAGCCTAGATATTTGTTGAATCAATATATTAATATCATTAATTCTCATGATCCTGTCTACATTTTCTAAGTTAAATATCAGAAGTTAAACAAAATCAACCATTACATGTCAGATGTATCACTCCTCAGTTATATTCAAAGTACTATACAATATAAGTGAATTATATGGCTCTGTTGAGTGTTATAATAAAATTATCTCCCCTGATACAAGTGTACCATACTGTAAGTCCTGGTACTGATGTAATACAATCTCACAAGAATAATAACTTTCTCTGGTAATTTTATACTAAATACGAACAAAAAAGCACAACCTGTATTAAGATAATGGTTGAAAGCACTGTATTACATGACTTGTATAGTCTTAATGTTAAAATATTTTACAAAACAAAATACTCATTTGCAAAATAGGAACATAAATGTTACAGTATAATCTGTATTTAAATGACAATTAAGTGATCTGAAGAATTTATCACATTACATTTTCTTTGAGTTATAAATGAGAAAAAAACAGATAAAGGGAAGTAACTCTGCCAATCTTCCATCACGAGAACAAAACATTTTAATACTTTCATTTTATAAAGGTCTTATCCCAACAAAGCCTGTTATTCTAAAGTTTGGTCTCTTGTGTCTTCTTAGAGAAGTGTATAGGTCTTCTATATATTTCCCATAAATAGAAACCACCATGATATTAGAGATTAACAAGTGAGATTGACTTTGTAGAAATATTGTCATTGGTGCCCATTTTATCTATTTTTAAAATGTTCTCTGGTATTTGAAGTTCAATGATTGATGGGAAACACTGAATACCTATGATGATGTTAAATGCAATCCTGCATTCACAGAATCTAATTACAATGGTAATCATTATTCATCTCATTAGTTTAAATACATGCAAAAAAACTGAAATCACTGCTGACATAGTTATATTTACATTTGGTTAACAGAAAAACTGAATTAAGAATATCACTTGCAGTTGGAATCTGATTAAACAAACAAGAGATCCCTGAGGGATCTTGGCGCCCACCATTTGAGGATCTGTTTTCAGTTCTTGAAGATTTTTTTTTGTTTGTTACAGGTGTTGTAAATGTTCATGAACTGGTCTTCATTGAATGTACTCAATGATGGCACAAGATATCTTTATTAAGCACCTATTAGCAAATATCATTTGAAAAAGATCCCAAAGTATTATTAGATAGCAGTCAGTTACAGGTGGATAATGGAAAATATGCTTGTGCTGTATTACTGTCGACATCCAAGATGGCTGCCTGTAGGCCACCTTGATTTCAAATCAGTCCAAAAAAGGTACAATGCACAACTAGGGACCAAGGGAAACCAATATCTATGAAATATCAGAAGGATACATCCAGTACTTCCTCAGATATAGCAGTAACAAGATTTTACTCTCAAAATCCAAGATTGCTGCCTGTCAGCCATCTTGATTTTGGATCAGTCCAAAAAGGTATAATGCACAACTTGGAACCAAAGGGAATCTGCATATAAAATTTGAGAAAGATCCATCGAATACTTTCCAAGAAATAGCAGTAACAAACTTTTACATTCAAAATCCAAGATGGCCAACTGTCTGCCATCTTGAATTCGAATCAGTCCAAAAAAGGTATAATGCACAACTAGGGACCAAGGGGAACCTGCATATAAAATTTGAGAAAGATCCATCCAGTACTTTCCAAGAAATAGCGGTAACAAACTTTTACTTCCAAAATCCAAGATGGCCACCTGTCGGCCATCTTGAATTCTAATCAGTCCAAAAACGGTACAATGCACAACTAGGTACCAAGGGGACACTGCATATGAAATTTGAGAAAGATCCATCCAGTACTTTTCCAGAAATAGCGGTAACAAACTTTTACTTCCAAAATCCAAGATGGCCACCTGTCGGCCATCTTGAATTCGAATCAGTCCAAAAAAGGTACAATGCACAACTAGGGACCAAGGAAAAACTGCATATGAAATTTGAGAAAGATCCATCCAGTACTTTTCCAGAAATAGCGGTAACAAACTTTTACTTCCAAAATCCAAGATGGCCACCTGTCGGCCATCTTGAATGCGAATCAGTTCAAAAAAGGTACAATGCACAACTAGGGACCAAGGGGAACCTGCATATGAAATTTGAGAAAGATCCATCCAGTACTTTTCCAGAAATAGCGGTAACAAACTTTTACTTCCAAAATCCAAGATGGCCACCTGTCGGCCATCTTGAATGCGAATCAGTTCAAAAAAGGTAAAATGCACAACTAGGGACCAAGGGGAACCTGCATATGAAATTTGAGAAAGATCCATCCGGTACTTTTCCAGAAATAGCGGTAACAAGAATTGTTTACGGACGGACGGACAGACGACGGACCACGGACGCAGGGCGAATTGAATAACCAACCATCTATTTGAATAGATGGTGGGTTAAAAATCTCATTACATGTATATAGAACAAAGTATGACAAGAGTTACGGTTCCTAGTTCCACATGCCAGTATATAAAGGTATAAGTATAGACAGACTTTTATCAAGGTCTGTAGTATTAGTATTTCAAGGAAGCCCATCTAGTATATATTCAGACAATCAATCATACTTTGGCAAGGATAGGAGAGGGCTTTTTTCATCTAATCTAAAAAAAAAAAACCACTTAAATAACTAGATAATTATCTACATAAGGTGCATAATAGTTTTCCTATGGATAATTATATATATAAAACACCTAGAAAATAAATGCCATTTTCAACAAAATAAATTGGCTTTTCTCACAACCTTGATTGTAATTTCTCAACTAACAATAATACACAGCCTTACACTTCAGAAATTACCACAATACACAACTGCGGAAAGCATTGATTATAACAAAACAATTGTAATAATTGTCTTTGGAATGGCATATTGAAACATAACTAAACTAATACGAATTTCGAAATATCAGCTTTCAACAATTGTATAATTCTTTTTGACAAAGTTCATATTCATAAAATGAATATCATAACAACATGACCTTGACACATTAGTGACCTTGGACTTGAACATTCCGAAGGGGTTCAGTCTATAGTTAAACTGTTTAAAGTTCATCTTTTCCAATGTCTTGAGGATCTTAAACATCCGAATGTAATCTTCTTTGGTGGTTGTTCTTTGTAAAGGTTCACTTTGACGAAACAACTCTCTTGTGTGTATTTCAAAGCCGATCTGCTTGACGTTCCACAGAGCTCCTTCCTCACTGAGTGCCAGCAGGACTGCCCACTCATTAAACTCAATATCAAACTTCAGGTAATCAATGACCGACTGTTAATGAAACAAAGTCATATTAAGATATTGGATGAAATTTGGTGATGAGAACACAATATTTTGTAGTGGTCCTTATTACCTATTCATTACCGCAGCTTACAAAATTGAATCTTTAAAAGTCCATTTCAAAATATATCCTAGAAAGATTGAATCAGCCATGTGACAGTACAGTTTGAAAATCAATTTATACACAGGCCAAGAGGAAAGTTTCTTTTTAACCAATAGTTCACTTTTTAAATGTATGAATTATGTATTTCCCATTTTAATATTTTTAATTTCTTACCTTTTCATGATGGTTACTTCCTAAAATAGATCCCAGTGTTTTTAGCGTCCAGCCCTTTCTAGTGACTTCATTTTTGGTTCCGATGCCAATTCTCTGAAACTTTACCAGTGCACTCCTGTTGTGGTCTGGCTGGGAGATTCTGAGAACAGAATGGAGATGACTGCTGATTATCTAGAATAATTCATCAAATGTAGCTGATTTTAAGGACATATACATCTCTCTCTCTATATATATATATATCTATACAGCAACAAGATTGTGTCTGGAATTTTTAGTTTTAAAGTAAAATAGTACAGTGATGCCGAGATGTAATCAGAATAAAATAAAACAGAATCAGTGAAACTGCTGAATGCTCCCTGAAAGTGACTTTATTGGACATAAAATCCTAACAAAGGGCAATAATTCTGTAATTAAGGGAATACAGGCATTAACATTGATTGGTAAGCTGCAAATTCTCTCGAGTATGATCATTGTATACACTTTGTTTCATTATCCTACCTTAAATGAAAATAAAGTCATGCTCTGGACAGGAAATTTCCATTCAAGGGCAATAACTTATTAATTGAGTGTTCAAGGGCCCTGAATTTGGTACAATGTACATTGTCTAAGTATGATGAATGTATCCACAAAGTTTCCACAAGCAAATTTAAAGTTCTGTTCTCGACACAAAATTTTAATAAGGGCAATAAATCTGTTATTAAGGGCTTGCAGGCCCTGAATCTGGCACACCACAAATTGTCTTAGTATGATAAATGTAAACACAAAGTTTCTTTGTCCTAGCCTCAATACAAGCAAAGTTGTGCTCTCCACCAAAAAGTTTTACTTTTACACTACAGCAAATATATCCAAATTTTTAGCTCATAACCAGCAAAACAGACTTTTTTTTCTAAATCAGATTAATTATTGTTAATAATTCCTTTAACACAACATTGTTAATGTGGCAGTGTGGTTTATCCACCTTTCATTTGTGTAGAATTTTGTTGTCCATTTTGTTTTATATTGTATATTTGTTTTCAAAATGCAATTACAGGCAAGATAGGATGGGATATTTTGTTCATATTTTATCCCAGTTTTATTGAATCTAAGTTTGGATTATGATAATGTTGACTTGTTGGTATTTTCTTATTGTTTTTTATTGGTAACCCTGAACTGGCCCTATCACAGCCATCCCAACACAAATCAGTTGTCATTTGGAACAAAATATGATGGTACAGCATTCAGACTTACGAAGGGTCAAAGGAAAACACATTGCATTTGTAGATCTTGGACACAGCATCATCAAAATTCCAGTCATCATATATTCTGGAAAAAAAAAGACAAGCATGGATATGTACATGTACAACTAGTACAGGTATTTAGCTGTATATAAGAGAAATGTAAAACAGTTTAAGGAGTTTACAAAAACAGTATAACCTTGTTTTTACACTAAGCTCTACTGGCAGGTGGTACATTATGATACAAACTACCAACCAGTGTGATATGTCACACTAGGAAAACATCAACTTTCAGTCACATTTGTAAACTGTATCTAGTTTAATTCAATATAAAATCTGTACTTTACTCTCGTATTTGTCTTCCATACATATACATTTAGATTACTTTACAACTCCTTTACAGAAAACAGAATTTTTTTTTATAAAAAAAAAACTGTGACATAAATGTTAATTTCCTTTACAGAATTCTTACCCAAATGAGTACACTATACAAGGCTTCCTGAGGCCAAAGGGAGGAGCAAAGCAGACGTTGTACCCTCCATCATGTTGGAATCCAAGACGCTTGTCATTCTTACAGATTACATCTTTTGTCTCAATATACCTGTAACGATGGACTAGGTTATACCAAATGTATCATTAATACAAGATTCTTTTACTTTAATTGACTCTGGGAATCATATACTGTAATTCCTTAATTGACATTTTAGAATTTTTTTAATATTTGTGGTGACAGTAGATAGTTTAGAAAATTAATATTTATTTATACTATCTGTTTCTAGCAAAAATTCACTCCTTACATCGTAAACTTGATGGTAAACTTTTTATTTATCTAATTAATTCTTTATGATTTCATTATAAAGTAAATCTATTTTAATTAACATGTTGATTTCTCGTTTGACATTACCTGAAGAAACTATAGGATTTAGGAATTCCTCATTTGACATTATCTGAAGAAAGATCAAAGAAGTTATAGAATTTAGGAATTCCTTGTTCGACATTACCTGAAGAAGTTAAAGTATTTAGGAATTTCTTGTTTGGCATTACCTGAAGAAATTATTCTCCACCTCGGCATCAGACATGGATGATGTAATGAGGATAGGCTCCATTTTTCTTACCAGGATCTGAGGAACGATGGCAGGTGGTTGCAGCAATTCTTTCTGAAAATACAATCAAAATTAAATCATGCATTTTAATTTTAATAAACATGGAATTAATGCAACTATTACAAGATTCCTTATAGCTGCAGAGTTTAACTAAAAAGTGAAAATGATTTTTTTTGGGACTTATAAACACATTTGGATTTGGAATGAAACCAAAACAGCTACTAAAATTTCAATTCAGAATTTGTTCATGAAATGGTCAATAAAATGATTCAATACTAAAATTATTATTCATCAGATGTTTTTTTCTATTTCCTTTTTAATGCTGATGTCAATCATACACTTGTTTATATGTGTGTACACATAAAATTAATATTAAAATAATAATATCATGGACTTCCTTTGCAGATCAGAAGCCATGCTACAGTAAAATGACACATGTTGTTTATAGAAGTGATTAATATAATAACATCATTCACAGGTACCCCAATTAAAATTCCATGTGTAGGCATGTGGGTACACATGTGTACACAAGTGATGGAAAAGTATGTTTACATAGGTAAAACGTGTAGAGATGGTCAACCCTGCAGGCTTTCAACTGGTCCTCCACTAATGAGTTATCTTTAAGATTCCTTTGTTTATTTCCTCATAAAGTGAGTAAAGATATTTAACCAATGAAATTTAAGAATGGAAAGTCACATTAATGACAAAGATGGCTGCTGTGTCAAAGATTTCACATTGTTTAATGATGGACTTCGCAGCTTGTATCGAGTGTGACCGACCAGTCAGGGCCAGACAGGAGGGGCTTCAGTGTGACGAGTGTGATCGCTGGCAGCATCGCACATGTAAAACAGGTAGGCAGGTGTTTGCTTTTAATCAATTTTTTCTTGAAATAACCAAAAGGGTCAATATTTATCTAGTGGGGTGGGCTTATCATAGGACACTCACGCAGCATTTAGTGATATTTCTACTAAAGCTACAGTGAATGGGTGGATTAAGCGACACTTCTGTTTCTTATTAAAGTCTGATAATTGTATTTGAAAGATGTTATAGAGTTACATTATATTTTCAACTTGCAGATGCATATCACAAATTATCAAAAAACCGAAAAATCAAATATTTACAAAATATATTAATTTATATGGCAAAACAGAGTATATAAAGTTACAATGAATTTCTATCTAACCAAGCGATTTAACCAAAACAGACTTGCAGTAGGAAGATAGAGATATTGATAGATGATACAGATATTATCTAAATTGTTTTTAATTTTTCAATTTCATTTTCTGGCTGTGAGGTGGAGTATGTGTTTTCAAAGCAATTGAAATTAAAAAAATACAAAGAGTAACAAATTGAATTTCATAGGAAAAAATGTCCCAAATGATTTTTTCTTTATCTACTACTTTTATCTTTCCGCTCAGTATTGTGAACTGTAAAATATATTAATTTATTGTCATAATGTCAGGAGCAAATGTGATCTTTCAAATTGTGTTAGGTTTGATGACCGTATATAAAGTTACAATGTAATTCAAAAGAAATGACATTTTTTCACATCTTTATATAATCCAACTTTTGAAAGGAATTTCTGGTCGTAGTATTGGTACAATGTATTATACATGAAGTACCAAAACAGTTAAATACATTTGTATGATACCTCTGTGGATTACCTATAAAACTATCCCATGATTAAATCATATCCAAGGTGTTCTCCTTTGGAAGATCCTACAGAGATATAAAGTGTCCTCCAAAGATGTCTTATACAGGTGATATTAGTCTTTAACTAGGGATATTGGTCATTTTCATTTCAACATATACAAAAGATAATAAAAAAAGCTCATAGCTATTGTAACAAATGGTCTCCAGCCACCAGCTTATCAGGCAGGGTAGCATTGTAACAAATGGTCTCCAGCCACCAGCTTATCAGGCAGGGTAGCATTGTAACAAATGGTCTCCAGCCACCAGCCTATCAGGCAGGTTAGCATTGTAACTGATGGTCTCCAGCCACCAGCCTATCAGGCAGGTTAGCATTGTAACTGATGGTCTCCAGCCACCAGCCTATCAGGCAGGGTAGCATTGTAACTGATGGTCTCCAGCCACCAGCCTATCAGGCAGGTTAGCATTGTAACTGATGGTCTCCAGCCACCAGCCTATCAGGCAGGTTAGCAACTGGTTTCAAATCTGTTCCAGAAATTCACATCTTTGCTGGATCTTATTAGCCAAGCTTATGATCTAAATATAATGGTAAGCTTTAGAAAATTAAATGAAGCTATGCTCTGAATGAACCCTTTTTGAATTATTGTACATTGAACCTTGACCAGACTTCAACTTTTATTCAAATTTTGTAAAATTGATAACGTCCTCACACATTGTAGTTGAACACCTGTACTTTTTGTTTTTGGATATGCCTATATTTGTTAGAGTTATGCTGCTTCTACAATGATTGCACACTGAATTATGGATACTCCCAATACAACTTTTACCTTACTGATAAGTCAGCACACAATGAATGTTAAGTTATTTTTGGAATTTCACAAACCTTTTTACATGCCCTTTCCATGATGTATGTAGACGGAAATTTGTCAGGAAACGTGAATCCTCCTATATATTTTATTGAAATTTTGTGAAACATCACAAGATGTAAAGATTTCAGACACCCTTTTCATGTCCAATGGCCTATGACATGTCAGATCACTTGTTAATTAGTAACTTTTAATGTATCTTTGATTCTCAGAAAACTTACATTTCTGAATTTTTTGAGGTGTCACTTAATCAACTAAGAATATTGATGTTTTATATATCAACATACCTGTTGCCAATCTAATGCAGTTTTTCTCCAAGCCACAATTTTTATAAAACTTGATCAACAATGACATTTAAAAAGAACTTGCCTTTAATTAATGGTTACATACTATCAGAATCAAAAAAGAGGTCGATTCTAATTCAGAACAATGAAATATATTTTTGTTTACTTTTTTTACTGAATAAAAGACAAATGAAATTTTGCATTATTGATGCTTATTATAAGAAATATTTTTTGAGTTTCAAATATCAATTTTTGATGACAGTATGCATTGTATATACTTAAAGACTGATATAACATTTGTAGGTATTTCTCGGAGTGTCTACAGAGCAACTGTGAGAGGTGAACCAAATGGTCTACAAATATGGTATTGTAACTATTGTATCCACACTGGAATGGAACCAGACACATCAAAGCTGACAGCGAGACCAGTAAACACCATGCTGACAAATAAACCTGCAGCTTCCATATTGAGTGTGAGGCCGACTACACCCATGCTTACAGAGAAATCTGCCACTCCAGTGCCAACAATGAAATCGACCCAGCCCACACTGACTGAGACTCCTGTCATGTCCACACCGATGGAGGGACCTCCCATGTCCCGTTTGATGGAAAGATCAGTCTCACCAATTCTGATTGAGAAACCGTTCATGCCCACGGTGACTGAGACAACTATCACTCCCACACCGACAGAGAGACCTGCTACGTCCACTATGACAACTATCACTCCCACACCCACACTAAAGGAGAGACCTGACACACCCACACTATGACAGAGAGACACAGCACTTGACACACCCATGCTGACACACCCATATTGAAGGAGAAACCTGACACACCCACACTTATGGAGAAATCTGACACACCCACACTGAAGGAGAAACCTGACACACCCACAATGAAGGAGGGAGCAAGCTAACCAATGCCAACTGAGAGATCTGCCACACCAACGCTGACAGACAGACAAGCTCCAGCTATAGCCAAACCGACAGATGTAGAGAGATCATTCATACCCAAGCTGACAACCACACCCATTTTATCCTACAAGAGACCTGCCATATCAATGGCGACGGAAGGACCATGGCCAGCCACACCAATGCTGAGACCTGTGACACCAAAGCAAATGGAGAGACCATACTTAGCCACACCCACAGTGATAGGGAGTCCAGTCACACCACAGATGGAGGATCTTCAACAGCCATTTTCACATGAACATAGGCATCACCTTGGTTCAACTGTACACAGACATCATCCATATTTACCATTACAAGGACAACGGCAACATTCACCTTTACAAAGACGTCCAGTCATGATGGAGACCAACTCAAGTTCAGATGAAGTATAACCAGACACTTATCATATCTGTGATAGTTCTTCTGTCCACCTTACCTTCTAATCCAAATCCTGTATATCGTTGTTTCCTAAGTTGATAAATAATTGCATACCCATGCAACGAATTCAAATGATCATTGCAACATATTCCGGGGTTTTAAGAAAACAGCCAAAAAACAATGCATCCTTGACTTAAACCACATGTACAAGGAGATTTATGAAATTTGATATAAAGTCACCGACATCATAATTTCTGATGGTACAAATAAGCCTAGGATCAATATCACATTCCTGTATCAATTTAAATACTGATGTGTAGTACATAGCTATATTACCCATAAAATGACAGATGCCTTCAATAAGATAACAGTATACCAAGATAAATATAATAAAACATTTCACCTTAATTTGTTTTTCAGTCTGATGATTCTGACGTACAAAAACCTAGGCGTTTTGATTTGCTACCATGTGTAGATTGTCCGTGCAGATTCCGACAGCACTCTCCAACACCTGCCTCTGATGCCACCTTTATTGTGGAGCGCGAGTACGAGACTGACATGTAAGTCAAATTACATGTTTTAGTCCACAGTTTGGACAAATAGATAAAAGAAAATAAATATTGAAGGATCACATTGACCACGGTGTAATAAGACAAATTAACTTACCCCAAAATAAAATTAAATGTAATCACTTATGTAGAAATAAGGTAAAATTTCAGGATTATTATAATCTAAAACAACATCTTTTTAATATGATTTCTTTATTTTCTATTTGATTAAAAACAGGAAAGTGACATGCTTATTTGTAAATTCTTATTTTGTGCAATAAATGTTTCTACATGATATGTCTTTTTAATATCTACCTGGATCAAAACAGTGCTTCTGATAACCAAAATGGTCATTAATGTTTAAATTTTTCTTTTCGA